CATCGGTGACGTCCCAGAGACCCCCAAGACAGCACAGGAGCGCTCCAAGAGTGACCGACGTGACCTCAAGATGGCCCTAGAGGCCTCCAGGACGGCCCCAAACAGGCCTCCAACTGCACTCCCAAGAAGTCCCCAAGAGGGGCAAACATCGTTGATTTTCTATCGGTTTTTGGTGAATTTTGCGGTTCTCCTCTTTTCGGCTTCCCGACGCTCCAAGACGGCGGTCTTCTAGGCGTCCGAAGCCGCCTGGGAGGCTCCCAAATCGCCCCACAACCATCCGAAAGGGCTTCCAGGCAGTCCAAGAGAGCCCCAAAACGGCACAACACGGGTCCCAGATGGTCCTCAGAGAGCCCCCTGGCGGCCCAAGATGGCCCCAAGACATCCCCCGAATCGTGACCCGGTCGTTCACGGAGACCGCGGTTGGAGGCAGGGTGGCCCGAGGAAGCCCCCAGAGGCCCCCAGAATACGCCCAGGAGACCTCCAGAAGGCCTTAAGAAAGCCTGAAACAACTTTTGTGAGGCCCCCAGAGGCTCTCCAAGGAGGAGCCTCCGCAAAAAAGAGCTGAGGAGGATGGGGAGAATGCGCAGGGCATGGCGAAACTGAGGAAAAAACATGGAGGAAAGATAACGAACAACATTATCATAGCGGCGATGCCGGAAAAGGCAACAAGGAGATATCGCTAAATTGTCGGCTTGACCTTCCTGCTTTTCCGCCTGCATACCAAACTTCAAGAACCAAAGTGCATGGCGCGAAGCGCCACTGCAATCTTATATATATATATATATATATATATATATATATATATATACATACAAACATACAGAGAGAGCCGCCACGGTGCCTCTGGACACGAAGTTGGCGTGTCCTCAGGTCCTTTGCGTCATACTCTTTCTCGAAACATCAATCCTCACTCCTGAGGAGTCTCGTAGGGGCCCGGCCGGAGCCCAAATTGCCAAATTTGGCAGGGCTTCTCGCGTCTTGTCTCGGTTTATCGCGTGACTTATTCGGAGCCACAAGGGCCCCAAGACGGACCAAGATGGCCCCAAGAGGCCCCCAAGGCGGTCCAAGAGGGCTCCGAGACGCCTAACGATCGCTCCACGACGCCCAAGATGGCTCCAAGATGGTCCAATAGGCATCCGAAACGCCCCCAGGGCCTTTCCAAGAGGGCTGGGAAAGGCCAACATCATTGATTTCCCGAAGCGTTTATCAATGTTTTTGGGGAACTCGACTTTTCGAGCTCCCGACAATCCAAGACGACCCAAAGGACCCCCAAGACAGCCCCAAGACGGCCCAAGAGGTCCCCAGGAGGGCCCCCACACTGCCCAAGAGGGCTGCAAAACGGTCCCAGAGCGCCCAAGAGAGCCCAAAGACAGCCGCCCCGAGAAGGGTCCAAGAGGGGGAACACGAACTGGAAATCCGTGTCTTCCGCCCCATCCCAAGGGGCCCTCTGGAGGCCCCGAGCAAGCGCCAGAAGACCCCCAAGAGGCCCGAAGAGACCCGCAAGAGGCACCGAAGACGCGCCAACAAGTCCTATCGCTCTGTCTGTCTGTCTGTCTGTCTGTGTGTCTATTTGTCTGTCTGTCTGTCTCTCTGTCTCTCTGTCTCTCTGTCTCTGTCTCTGTCTCAGTCTCTCTCTCTCTCTCTCTCTCCCTCTCTCTATATGTAGATATACACTGTCTATATATACACACAACCGCCACCGTGCACATGAGGCAAGAACTGGAATGCCCTCAAATCCTCTGCCTAATTCCTGCAGCCTCAGTTCCCAATCCGGAGGATGCTTGCGGGGGCCCAGACCCCGAACTCACCACTCTGTTGGGGCGCGCCGCGTAGCCCCTTGGCTCCGGGAAGTGTTCTCGCATGCGTGGAGGATACATGAGGATACATCCGTGCGCACCAGGGTGCGTTTGTATTATCACGGGAGTGAGGCCGAGTGCCTTCTAACCCTCCTGCTGAGAGGCGCGGGCAGGCACAACTGCAGGCGCGGCGGCGGCAGAGCACTCCTCCACGGCCATGCCGTGGGTGGCCGCCTGCACGGATTGGATCAGTCCGTCGCGCCCAGCGTGGGCGCGGGTAAACAGTCCGCCGTCAATCTTGGCGAGGTTCTCTCCCCCGTTCCTAGTGATGCCCATGCAGGGCGCGGCAAGATGGCGTGGGTCCTGCGTGGCCGTCTTGCCGCATCCACGACAAAAGTACAGACGGCACTTCTGCATGTAGTGTAGCTTATGGGAGGCGTGGAGCTCACGCCCGCAGATGGTAGCGGCGCCCTGTACTGGCACCGCGAGCTCACTGGCCGCTGGCTGCACCGGCTTGTGGTGGCAGGGCGTCGTGCATGCCTGTCCTACTTTGCACAGGTCAGTAGTGAGCCCACACTGTGTGCACCTGTACTTGGCAGCACGGAGCCCGAAGGAATGCTGGCTGGCCTGCATGGCCAGCTGAAGCTTGGTGAGACGTGGGCCTTTGGCCTGCGAGGGTCGCTCCGCGACCCATGGATCAACTGCAAGCGTGTCTGCAAGCGCCCTGCGCGCCCCCCCTGCGGATGAGGGCACGCCGAGTGTCACGCAGGTCGGTGGGGGGCGCTTGGCCCGCGAGGGCTGCCTCGTATGAGACCTGGGCGGCTACGCCTGTCCAAGCGTTAGCCGCTGCGTTGCCTGCCATGTGGATGTAGCGGACGGGGTCGGAAGCCAGGCCAGGTGCACCCTCGCTGTGTGAAGGCAACCAGGTGACCTCTAGCTTACTGCAGCCACGGGCTCGCATTGCTTTGGCAATGCGTGCCCACAAATCAATGCTTGCGCCTCCGCTGGGGCGCAGGTGGCGGTTCGTTCTCCACGTGTCGTAGAGCGGCATGCGATGAGTCATGCAGCAAAGATCGCCTGGCCAGCTGTCCAGAGCGAGCGCAATAACCAACAGCTCGGCTCACCCACCGTCTGGAAGGGGCCCTCTAGGCCCGACACTGTTCCTCCCCAGGGGGCCCACTCCCCGGAGAGGCACCTCATCGCGATGCAGGCGGCCCCCGCCCTACGGCGACGGGGTTCGTCACTGAACTTGCCGCCCGAGCCGTCGCCGAAGAGGGTGCAGGTTCCGTCGCCGTTGGCGCAGTCCTCCCAGTCCCGCCCAACCCAGCTCCATCCGCCATCCCCACCCAGTGACGAGAAAACAGGGTGCGTGTCAGCGCGCGCAGGCAGGCCGCGGAGCCAGTCGGCTGGAAAAGCCTCCGCACCAGCAAGGGCTGAGGGAAGGGGGGCGTCAGAATCGGTGTAATCCTCGTGGTTAGGGTTGCGCGGGCCGTCTCGTCGGAGGTCCCGCGGCGCGGGCATGTCTCGCATGCCTGGTGCCCCGTTTCCACGAGGCGCTCCCTGGGCCATTGCGCCCCCGCGACCACGCAGAGGTTGGGGGCCCACTGGTCGTGCTGGCCCTTCTTGGTGAACTTCTCCATCTCGTGCGTGGTTGTGTGGACGTCTGGGCCTCCGCGCTGTAGTCCTTCTCCGTGTGGGTGCTTGGCGGCGTCCTTCCACAGGCTGTCTCGATGGAGAGGCAGAACTCATGGGCGAACTCCGCAGGGTCCACGTCGTTCCTCTTGTCCTCCCAGTCTGGTTGGCTGCTGTGTGGGCGGAGCCATTATTGTACTTCGGTCTCTCCTTTACCTGGTGGGCGATGCCATTCGTATGGCGTAGGGCACTACCATCCCGCATATGAGAGGATGGCCTGGATGGCGGTGATGGGCCCCTTCGCCTTCCTCCACTTCTTGTTGCCGCGGCTGATCGTCTTGCCGTAGAGGAGCTTCCACGCCTGCGTGACCCGCAGGTGGTGTTCTGGGTGGTTGAGCCAGAAGTAGAACCACTCGGTAATCGACTGGCGCCTCAACTCGATGGCGGGGCCCTTCTGCTCCAGGATTGCGGCCAGCGCGGTGCGGTGGGGATGCGCCGCCCTGGGGCTCTCCCAGCCGAGGCCTGGATGGCCTGCCGCCGCTGCTCGAGGATGGCTGCTGGGGACAGGCCCATGATCTGGTGGCCGTGCGTGCCCTGGGGCCTCGACCCCGTCGTCCACAAACCTTTCGCGATCTTGGCGAGGGAGGCGTGCTTCCTGATCTTCGTGATGATGCGGTCGGTGCGGCGCTTCGCCGTCTTGGCCCGCTTGACCGCCTTGGCTGCGACCCTCCGCTAGGGGCCGCGCGCGTCGATGCCGAGGTCGACGGACGTGTTGGCCACTTTGATGGAGTAGCCCTTCTTCTTGGGGCCGACGTGGGCCGCGAGGGCGATTGACTGGGCGGAGGCGACTACCGTCGTCTGGGGAGACACTCGGAGGCCCGCTTCCGTCATGCCAGTGCAGAGGTCCGTCGCCACACCAATGAGGTCTCCATTGACCTGCTTCGTCTGGCCCTCCGTCCTGGCCACCGTGTCGTCTACGAAGGTCCACGAGCCAGCGTAGGTGTAGTTGTGGTGGGCCCTCTGGAGGACCGGCCCGGGGTAGACCTTCGCTAGCCTGCCGCCGTTGCAGCTGCCCGCGACGATGGGCCGCTGCGAGTCGATGACGTCGCTCACCCAGCCGTGCGTGCGCAGGTGCCTGGGGGCCAGGTAGAGCTGCACCTCCAGCGTCGCGACTATCGGTGGGCACTTGACGCCGATTGTGGCGCCGAAAAGGAGCGCGTAGGAGACCGAGTCGTAGAACGTCTCGACGTCCATGAGGATCGTGGCGAAGGCTGCGCCGGACGCCTCTGCCGTCTCGTCGAGGAGGGCCCTGGCCAGCGCGGCCCTGAGCCCGCTGGAGCCCTTGATGGCGGTGTCACAGAACTCCGCCAGCTCCATGGACCGCTCGTCGGTGATGGCGGATCGTATCTTGGCCCATGTCTTGGGGATCAGATGCCCAGGATTCTTTCCCTGCCGGCAGGCTTGGGAGCCACCTCTCCGACTGTGGCGCATAGCTGCTGCGGCCGCAGGCCGCTCTGCTCCGCCGCGTTGTAAATGTTGGAAAGCTCCTGGATGCCCCGTTGGGGGAGTCTCTGGATGTCGATGGGGCCAGTGTTGTCGACCCCTCTCGACTTCATGGGGTTAGCGACGCCGATGACAGCCTGGATGTGCTGCGGCTCGATGATAGGGAGGGGGTCCTCCTTCGCGAGCATGATGGCCCTCTCGTGCGCGTCGATGATCTGCTCCTCGTTGTAGCGATCCGACTTCCAGATGTCGCGCCACGTGTCCGCGGCCTTGCTCATGACCAGGTAAGGGTCGCCGACAGTGGTGCGGGCCATCTTGTCGTCCAAGCGGTGCATCTTGGGGTCCGCGACGGTTCGGTGGAGCTTGCTAGGGGGGTCCTTCCAGGCAAGCTTCGCCCACTCGGGGTATCTCTTCCGAGCTCTGCCCGCTGCCCTGGCCATGGCCGTGTGCGTCCACACTGCGGCGGTGGCGCAGAGGTATTGGAGGTCGCCCTCGTCGCAGAACTCGAGGGTGGAGATATGGGTCTTCCACTCGTCGATCTCCTTCGGGTCCGTCTTGGTGCCGGAGTGGTTCCTCTGGGCCTCTGGGTTGTCCAGGTCGTCGAGCTTGCTGAGGATGGTCCCGTGGATCTGCTGGCGTGCCTTGGGGTCTTTCGCATTCTTGACCAATGCTGTGTACCTCAAGATGAGCGTGCTGAAGTGTTGCCGCCGCGTAGCCTCGGGATCCCTGAGGTGCGTTCTCCCGGGTGGTGCCTTCGCTGCCCGCTAGGTGGTTCTGCGGCCCTCAGCTCTGCCTTGATACCTGGCCCTCTCGTCGGCTGGGGCGTGGTGTGTCTCCAGGGGGGCAATCTCTATGGTCGCGACCCGCTGGGCGTACGCGGAGTTCATCCGCGCTGCAGCCTTCTGCTTGTGGCTGTGGAATATGTGGTCCCTGCCCTCCTTGGTGCCGACGCGGGTGCCCTGGGACCTCGGGTAGTTCCGCGCCTCGGCGGCAGCCTCGCCCCAGTCGGCCTCTGGGGCGATGAACGGCGCGGGGTCTTCCTTGGCCGCGCCCGCACTATTGGAGTGGAGGGCGTCGAACTCGCCGCGCAGGTGCTTGGGCAACCTTCCCCCCCTGTGTCTCAACGCCTCCGCTCGAGCCTTGGCATGGGCCTTTTTCTGCCGGGGTCCGCAACCTTCTTGGGTCTGGCTCGGGCGGGGAGGGCTTTGGGAACCCTGATCGCTTTGTGCGCCCGCGGCTCGGCGCGGCCCGCCGTGACCTGGATGCCCCAGTGGGTATTCCAGGGCACGTCGCGCATCGCTTTGATGTCCAGGTGCGTGGCGAAGTCCGCGCGCACGATCGCATAGTCGTGCGCGGAGCCCTTGCCCTTGTCGCACGTGGCCTTGCACTCTGGGTTGGTGAGGGCGGTGCCGTTCCGTTTGGTGGGCCACAGTCTGTCGTCCCACCAGTTCGGTTCGTAGGTCCAGTCGGCGAGGATGACCCACGGGTCGGTGAGCATGTTCATGAATGTGGAGATGGAGACCATGATGCCCCTGTTCGCGCCTCGATCGCGGAGCCCAGGCCGGAGGTAGGCCGCAACGACTACGATGTTGCCGCTCTTGGTGTGGAGGGTCGTCCGCGAGAAGCCCGCGAACTCCTGCTTGTTGTGCGCCTTGGGGTCGTGCTCCCTGTGCCCCTCAAAGGTTGTGGCTGCAATGTCGCCCTGTGTGAGAATCCACTCGCCACCGTGGGTTTCCTTGCCGGATTTGTAGGTCGGTAGCGCTGGCGTAGCGGCCAGCTTCCAGTCGTCCATGGCGAGCTTCCCGATTTGGTCATGGATGCCGTTCGCGTCCACGTGGGTCTCGGCCAGGGCGATGAGGGGGTACTTGTGCCCGATGGTGCGGCAGAAGTTGGCGGCCTGTGGCTCCCACTCGGTAATGTTGCCGAATAGGTTCTGGGCCTTCATCTCCTCCTTGTCGTTGCTCCGAAGGGGGTGGTGGTGCTGCCGCCGCTGGTGCGGGCTGGGCACGTCCTTTGTCCTTCCCCTTGGTGGCCCGGGCCATTTGCTTGGCCCTCTCGGCGGTCGCGATGAGGTTGGCGGCTGTCTTTCGATCTTCTTCGGGGGGTTCGGGGTTGGCTGGGGCGTGATGTGCATCAGGCTGTTGTGGCGCATCAGGTGCGGCGGGCGATGCTGGCGACTGGCCGACGGTAGCTTGTCCATCGTGCTCGGCAGGAGGCTGGTGAGTGTCTTGTGCCCCTGCAGGTGGGGCGTCCATGAAGCTGGCTGAGTGTCGGTCGCCTCCATGCTCGCCGATTTGCGCTTGGCGGGGTTAGCTCGACTCCTTGTCTTGTCGTAGAAGCCCTCGGATGTGTTCCTGTCCATCGTTGAGGGCTTGAACTCGCTGGTCGAGCTCCGCCTTCCACTTCTCCATCTGGTTCTGGGTGGCGTCGTCGTAGACGCTGAGGTCGTCCCACATCGTGCTGTCGATCTTGAAGGTGCCCTGGGGGGCGATGGCGGTGGCCCCTCGTGCGACAACTCCTGCGAGTTTGGCGCTGTGTTCTGCCTGAGCCTTGGCGCAGGCGCTCTGAGCTTGGACGAGGTCGAATGCGGCTTGCTTCTGCCTGGCCATGGCATCGTCGTACCATTGCTTAGCCTCTTCGGCGTCGTCGCCCGCCTGCTCGAACTTCTTCTCCTTGCCGGTGAGGACGGAGAGCGCTGACTGGAGTGCCTGCTCGGCTGAGCGGGCTGGCGGCTGCTTCTCTGGCTGGTGGAGGGCGTCTTTGATGTTGCCGACGAGTTCGGCGTGCTTCGCGCCATTGAGGAGGGACTTGGTCGCCTCGAAGATAGTGGTGTCCTTGCTGGGGACGGCGGGCGGCCGTGTGTCCTTCCGCGGCGGCGGCTTACCATTTAATGCCCAAGCTCCTGTCGGTTGACGGAGCTCCGATGGTGATGGGGCCAATGCCTTGCCACAGTTGAAGCACTCGGACTTCCCCTTCCATGTCCATCTGTAGTGGCATGTCTTGCAGATGGTGTACTGGTAGTGGTACTGGTACTGGTGATGCACACGCCCAGGTGCACCTCGCGAGCCCTCTGCGCGTCCTCGCGGTCTGTAGCTGCCGTCGTTGGCGGCAGCAACACCTCCATTCGCTGCTGCGGCTCCGCCACGGGTGGCGGCCATCGCTGGGCAGCGTCGTGGGGTGCCCTCGCAAAGGCCGCACAAGAGGGATATGGACTGGGCGGCAGCTCGCCCGTGAGTGTGCGTGCAGATATGAAGATCGCTGAAAACTGTGGGAGCCTACCCCAGGCAGGCAGTGGAAATAATACCATTTTGGCCTTGAACCAATATGGCTACGGACTCGCATGCGTGGAGGAGGATAAGGAAGATGAGGAGGATAAGGAAGAGGAGGAGGAGGAGGAGGAGGAGGAGGAGGAGGCGGAGAAGGAGGAGGAGGAGGAGGAGGAGGAGGAGGAGGAGGAGGAGGAGGATTTTCGACCCCAGGAAGGCACCAGAGGGCCCCAGGAAAACGCCCAGGAGGCCCAAGAGAGGGACCCGAATCGCCTCACGGTGGCCTCAGACGGCCGCTCTTAGCGCGCCCATCGCGCGCTCCTCGCGCGCGCCGCCCGAGGAGAGCCCGCGGCGGCCCGACCTTGAGCGTGTTGCGAATGGAGTTCGACCACTGCCGCCGCACGTCTGCTGCGGGGCCCTGGCTGCGCGGCGGCTGGTAGTCCTCCGGGGTCGGGGAGGGATCGACGACGACTACGATAACGAACGCGAGGAGGAGGAGGAGAAGGCGGAGGCGGAGGAGGAGGAGGAGGAGGAGGAGGAGGAGGAGGAGGAGGAGGGGCAACATCGGTCCGCATCGAATCGGGGACTCGGGCCGCCTCGGACCGTGCGTCGAGTGGGGCAGCATCGGCACGGGGTCGACATCGCCTCGGAGCAGCTGCGCCAGGATGCACGGCAGCTCCATGCGCGCGCCGCGCCGCAACTGATCGCCCGAAGATCGGAATCGAATCGGATCGGGCCTGCCGAAACCGACATGGAATCGGATCGATCGGATCGAAATGGACCCCTAGGGGTAGTGTTGCTGCTGCCTGCTGCCTGCTGCCTGCTGCTGCTGCTGCTGCTGCTGCTGCTGCTGCTGCTCGGGGTCCCGCCTGCTCGACGCGCTCACTGTGGGCGAGACTGTGCTTGCTGTTCGCGCTCGTGCTCGGTACTGGCCGCTGCCGCGCGCTGCCGCGTGCTGCTGGACAGTGCGGCGGCCCTGGGTGGAGGAACGGCAAGCGATCGTGGGAGCCCACCTTGGACCCCCCCCGGCGCACTCTTGTGAAACCGGAAATGCAATACAAACAACGACGATGGAAGCCAACACTTCAAAAGGTAAGCAACACTTCAAGATAGCAACACATCGATCGAACCAGTCATCACCCCACCCATATTCTTCCTCAATCTAACAGCGGGTAACTGCGAAGTACTGAACCGCAATGAATTTCCCACCAAACAGCTAAAAATCCGTATGGAGCAAACGGTTTCACTTGACAACGCGTAGCTTTAAAAACGGTTTTCGTAAATTCGCCGACCCGTCGGCGTGTGGGAGACGCTGTCCCCGTCGTCGTCGTCGTCGTCGTCGCTGTTGTCGTCGTTGTCACCGTCGTCGTCGTCGTCGTCGTCGTCGTCGTCGTCGTCGTCGTGTCGTCGTCGTCGTCAGTCCCACAGTAATTGAGGAACAAGGGAAAGAAACGTCTCAATTCAATCGGTTCCCTTCCCTTTACCCCTTCCCTGCCAGGGGGAAGGTCCTGGGGGGGGGGTGCCCGGGTCAGAATATCGCCCCCCCCCCCGGGGGTCCCGGCGGGTCCCGGGGAGGGTCGCCAGCGGGAGTCCCAAGGGACATCCCGCCTTCAATAGGTCGGCGGCACCTGCCGTGAAGCCGTCGCAATCAGAAGTCCTCCTGGCGAAGGGCCGAAGCATGTGCAGATGTGGCGGCCGCGTTGTGGGCACCGCTTTCGCTGGAGCTCCCAGTGGGGCCACGGAACGTGTGAGGCGCATGCCCAAATCGGCAGGGAACCGCATGTGAACCGTGCCACTGGGGCCTTCGGTGGAGCTCCCTACGGGGCCACGAAGCGTCTGCAGGGTGCACCGAAATGGGCGCGGAACCTCCTGTGGACTTTGCCATTGGGGCCTTCGGTGGAGCTCCCAATGGGGCCACGAAACGTGTCAGGGGTGTGCCCACATGGGCGGGGAACCTCCTGTGGACTTTGCCACTGGGGCCTTCGGCGGAGCTCCTTATGGGTAGTGGAACCTTCGGTGGATCTCCCTATGCGGCCGCGAAGCGCGTGAGGGGTGTGCCGAAATGGGCGGGGAACCGCATGTGGTCTTTGCCACTGGGGCCTTCAATGGAGCCTCCAATGAGACCGCGCAACGCGTGAGGGGTGTGCCAAAATGGGCGGGGAACCGCATGTGGACTTTGCCACTGGGGCCTTCGGCGGAGCTCGCAGTGGGGCCACGAAACGTGCGAGAGGCGTGCTGAAACGGGCGGGGAACCGCATGTGGACTTTGCCACTGGTGCCTTCGGTGAAGCTCCCTATGGGGCCGCAAAACGCGTGAGGGGTGTGCCTCAACGGAACATGCGGAGGGCAGAGGCAGGGACGGGATGAGGTGCAGGGCTGCAAAACGGCGGGGGCCGAGTCCCGCACCATGCCCCGAGAAAGAGAGGGAGGACGGGAACTGCGGTGACAGAAGAGGCCCAGACCAGGGCCTGCCCCAGAGCAGCGGGAAGTGCAGGGCGCAGGACGGAGGCCGAGGAGGAGGAGGAGGACGAGGAGGAGGAGGAGGAGGACGAGGAGGAGGAGGAGGACGAGGAGGAGGAGGAGGAGGAGGACGAGGAGGAGGAGGAGGAGGCGAAGGAGGGAGGAGGAGGAGGAGGAGGAGGAGGAGGAGGAGGAGGAGGAGGAGGAGGAGGAGGAGGAGGAGGAGGAGGAGGAGGAGGAGGAGGAGGAGGAGGAGGAGGAGGAGGAGGAGGAGGAGGAGGAGGAGGAGGAGGAGGAGGAGGAGGAGTAGGAGGAAACCGCAGCGCGGGCGCCGACAACTGCCAGCCTGGCGCAAGAACGGGTGGCCAGGCCCAAGATGTGCCGCGGCGCGGGTGCGGCGGCCGTCAAAGGCGGCGCGAGTCCCCTGGAGCCCTCAGCGCACGTTGACGTTGAGCCGGACCGCAGGCTGCGCCGCGAGCAGTGGCGGTACAGGGTGCTCGCGGTACACGTCCGCCATGGACGCGTCGTTGATGATGCCGACGTTCACGCTAAGGGGATTCTCGGGAGGCCCCGCTGGCCCAGCGGAATAGATCTGGAGGTTCCCGAGGCCCTCTGGCCGCACCAGCACCCGCAGTGCTGGGTCGACTGAGAGCGAGACGCCGTGGGCCCGCTCGTTCAGCACGCTCTTCTCCTGGCTCAGCTGCCAGGCCCTGGCCAAATATTGGCCGCCGGCGGTCTCCTCGACGCGGAACTGCAGCACCCCGAGGCGCCCCTCGGCGGCCGCGTCCTCAGAGGCCGCCTGTTCCGCAGCCCAAGGCGGCGTCAACTCCTGCGCCTTGGCCTTGTAGGCCGCCACTGCCTTCTGCAACATGTCGATCTTCTCCTGCACGCGGAGCCGCCCGCCACGCCTGCGCATCCCCGCCAGCAGCCGCTCCTCCAGCGCCACGGCCTCCTCCTTCTCCGCGATGGCTCGCTGGAGCCGATATACCTCCCAAATGACCTTCCTCATGCCCTCGGCAAGCGTTCCTCGTTGGCGGCTGCAGCCTCCCGACGCGGCCACGGAGTCGAACGCGGCGAGGGCCCTCCGCTCGGCCGCCTCGGACTCCCGGCCGAAGTTCTTCACCAGCCGCGCACTGCTCGTGCTCGCCGCCCATCTGGCGTGCTCGTCGCGGAAGGCCGCGAACCCGTCGCCCAGCGCCGCATCGCAGCCGTCCGCCGCCCGCGGGCCGGACTCCTGCCTCACCAACTCCGGCGCCAACGCCTCCCGCGGCACCTGCGCCGCGCCCGGGGCGCGCGGGCCCCAGAGGGCCCACAGCGCCGCGCTGGCGCACGCCAGGGCGGCGCCGCCGGCCGCGGCGCGGGAGGGCCTGTGGCCCGCACCCCTGGCCGGGCGGGGCGCCATGGCTGCAGCCGGGTTCCACCAGCTGGGCGCTCGACGCGGGGGGGAGCTGCGGGCTCGCGCCGCAGGGGGGGCTGAGCCAGAATGGCCACGGAGCAGGGGCGGGATGAGGGAGGAGGGCGAGGAGGGGGGGGAGGGACGCAGGGCGCTGTCACTTCAACGCGAAGACCCAACTCAGCACCAGATGGCTGGAACACACATGTATTTTGCGCTTCCGCCGCGGGGACCATACGAGAGCCATTGTGGAGCTCTCTTGAAACGTCTTGGGGCCATGTTGGGCCTTCTCGGGCTCTCGTAAAGCCTGTCTAATAATCATGGGGTTCACGTGGGCCTCGCGGGGCCTTTCCGGGAGGTCTGGGGGCCGTTTGGAAGAGTCTTGGGGCCATCTTTGATCAGAGTGGTGCACTCTTGGAGCCGAGTTTGGGCCACATTGGATGATGTTGGAGGCCAGCCTGGGCCATCTTGGGCTCCAACCATCGTGATACCATGCGGAACGCCGAATTATCCCAGTGCGACCCTACCTAGGAGTTGGAGCATTTAGGAAAGCATCATCTACATCTACACCGACAGCTACATTTACATCTACACCTGCATCTGCTACGCTATGCTATGCTATGATTTGCTATGCTGCGCTATGCTATGCTATGCTATGCTATGCTAGGGTACGCTCAGCTGCGTTGTGTTATGCTAGGCTATGATATGCTATGCTATGCTGCGCTATGCTATGCTATGCTATGCTGCGCTATGCTATGCTATGCTAGACTATGCTATGATATGATACGCTGCGCTATGCTATGCTATGTTATACGATGCTATGCTATGCTGCGCTATGCTATGCAATGCCATGCTATGCTGTGCTGTGCTATGCTATGCTATGCTATGCTGCGCTGTGCTATGCTACGCAATGCTATGCTATGCTATGCTGAGCTATGCTATGCTATGCTATGCTGCGCTATGCTATGCTAGGCTATGCTGTGCTAATGCTGCGCTGCGCTATGCTGCGCTACGCTGAGCTCAGCTCAGGTAAGCTAAGCTATGCTAAACTAAGCTGAGCTAAGCTAAGCTAGACTAGGTTAGGCTAAGCTAAGCTAAGCTCAGCCAAGCTAAGCTAAGCTAAGCTAAGATTATCTAATATAAGAAAAGCTAAGCTAAGCTAAGCTAAGCTAGGCAAAGCTAAGCTAAGCTAAGATGATATACGCTAAGATAAGCTAAGCTTAGCTGAGCTAAGCTGGGTGAACCCAGGGGGCGCAACTGGGGGAACCGCGGGGCGGATACTGGGGGAACCGCCCGGGGCGGGTTGCACTGCCTGGCCCTTTAAGCACACCGAGTAAGAACCCTTCTAGGCAGAGCCTAGGTAGGGAATTCACTACCCTGCACTGCGCTTGACCACTCCACTGCTCGCGCAAACATCCCACCCACCCACCCGCAACTTGGTTCGCAAAATCTCTTAAGACCGTGACGGTGGGTACCAAATGGCACTTGCCAACGACAGCGACGCCGACAACGACAGCGACAACGACGACGACGACGCCGCCGACAACGACTACGACGACACCGACGACGTCTCCAACGACTTCGACGACGCCGACAACGACGACGACGACGACGACGACGACACCGACGCCGACGACGCCGACCCGACGACGACGACGACGATGACGACGCCGACGACGATGACGACGCCGACGACGACGACGACAACGACGACGCCGACGACGACGACGACGTCAACGACGCCGACGCCGACGACGACGACGACGACGGTGGCGACGACGACGACGCCGACGACGACGACGACGACGCGACGCCGACGCCGACGACGACGACGAAGACGACGACGACGTCGCCAACGAAGACGACGACGAGGGAGGAGGGAGGACGACGACGGCGACAACGACGACAACGACGACAACGACGAGGGAGGAGGGAGGACGGCGACGACGCGAACGACGAAAAAGGAGGAAGGACGGCGACGCCGACGACGACAACGACGAGGGAGGAGGGAAGACGACGACGACAACGACGACGACGACGACGGCGACGAAATAGGAGGGACGACGACGAGACGCCGACGACGGACGACGACGACGACGAGGGAGGAGGAGGAAGGACGACCACGGCGACAACGACGATGGAAACGACCACGACGCCAAAGAGGACGACGACGACGAACACGAGGAAAGACAGAAGACGACGTAGGCGACGACGATGACGACAACGACGCGGGAGGAGGGAGGACGGCGACGACGACGACGACGCAAGAGCGCGCGCGCACGCTTTTGTTGAAGATCCGTGTTGCGAAACCTTGTTTTTTTGTAGGTTTTTTGGACGCGCGATTTCGAAATCCTTCCGAAACCGATGGGTTTTGAAGGATTTCGGCGTACGCGCGCGACGACGCGCGCGACTGCACTTCGTCCCATTTTTTGCAGAGGATTCTCGCGACGGCACACGCGCAAGGGCGTTCGACAGATTTCGACATGCGCGCGCGAAGCCCGTTTGGTAACATTTTGTGAGAATCTTGAAAAACCTATGGTTTTCTTAAGATTTCGCAAGAGCTTGCGCGGAAGCTTTTTTAGCAAATCAGTGTTGCGAAACCATGTGTTTTTGTATGTTCTTTGGAAACTCGATTGCGAAATCCTTCCTTCACCGAAGGTTTTTGAAGGATTTCGGCATGCGCGCGCGACGACGCGCGCGTGTGCACTTCGTTTCATTTTTTGCATTGGATTCGTGAAAAAGTGTTATGTTAGAACAAAAAATGTCACCGCATAGTGTTTTTTTTACAAGGGACCCTCAGAGGGGGGAATCCGGCCTGCCTGGGATGGTCTGATGTCATATTTAGGATGGACGAGTGTGCAGAATATATATATATATATATATATATATATATATATATATGAAACTATACTATCCCAGGGGGAAGCGTTAAGTCAAGGGGGGGGGGGGGGGTAGAGTCTATTCTCTTTTTAGCAAGGATAATAAAGAACGAAGGGGCTTTTCTGGACCCGGCGAAGCTCGGCCACTAAGAAGAAGTTCCACAACTTGAAGCTCGGAGGCGGCCCGAAAACCTGAACCCCTTCTGAGGCCAAACTGGTCCTTGTTTCAGCATCTTGACTGTATCGAGAAGGCGTCTGGGGCCCTCTTGGCCCTGAGCACCTCTTTTAAACCTCAACCTCTGGGGGCCTCTCTTGGAGCCCAAATTTGTCCAAGAAAGAACAAGCGCCCATGAACGTGCGAAAACAGAGCGAATTCGCGGGCCCAACGGGCCAAATACGTGCTAAATCCGCGCGCCCGGCGGCCCCCCCAGACCCCCGACGTCGTGATTTTTTTCATGACGCGACCTATAGAAATCTGGACCCGTTCCCTGGGATCGGCTTCTCATCCTGAGTCGTTTTCTGACCGTCCCGCGGCCTGGAAAAGGGCCCCGAGAGGATGAAAACGGTGAAACACCTCCAGTCGTTATATTTGTCACCAGTCGAGGGGGTCAGGGCTTGCGTAGTTCGTCTATTTGCCTTTCCTTGGGGATGTCCCGAGCACTGACTGTGAACGGAGGTAGGCAACCGAAGGGCCGAGTCGTCCGTCCACTGAAGGTCCGTAGGCATAGGAAGGATGACAGCGATGTAGGGTCTTAACCCTCACCATTGTCCAGTCACGTCTAACTGAGCGCCTCGGAGTATATGGGGTCAGAGGATCGCGCCGCATTGTCGATGTCGACGATGCATCGGCGACGTCGGCGTGGAGCAAATCGGGCTCCACATCGAACCGCATCGTCGATGCGGCGCGACCTTCCGACCCCATCTGCTTCGACCCCATCTAGGAAGCCTAGATTCCAATACCTGGACCAAGAGGGGCAGCAGCAGAGAAAAGTAAGAGTGGAAGAGGAAGGGGATTCACACACCCCAGACTGATGATGATGATGATGATGATTATGATGATGATGACGACGATGATGATGATGATGATGATGATGATGATGATGATGATGATGATGATGATGATGATGATGATGATGATGATGATGATGATGATGATGACGATGACGATGTGGAGAAGGCGATGGAAGCAAAACGAAAATCATCAGACAGGGTCCTGCGTGCGAGAGGGGCGTGGAGGACATGAAGCAATCACACAACGGAGCCGCAGCACAACGGAGCCGCAGCACTCGGTACGCCAAGGGCAAGGTGGTGCAGGATCGAAGAGGCCATTTACTCCTGTCGCACAGGAGGCGAAGGCAACTGCCAGAGGAGGGCCGTGTTGGAGCCCTCTTGATCCTCCTCCTCCTCCTCTTCCCTCTCCTTCTTCGCCTCCTCCTCCTCCTCCTCCTCCTCCTCCTCCTCCCCCTCCTCCCCCCCTCGGGGCTTCATGATGAGTCCTTGCTGAGCTCTGTTTCTATTGCGCTGGCCGCGGGGGCGCTCGGGCGCGCCCGGAGCGCCAAGGCCCGCGGCGGTCCCGCGGGATGTTGAGCTCTCGTGGGGCCTCTCCGAGCCATCGTGGAGCTCTCGGGGGCCTCGCGGGGTTCGCCCGCCAGGGCCACGTGGCCGTTCGCGTGCGTCGTGGGGCCGGGCCTTGGGTCACGGAGGGCGGCGGGGGGCTGCGTGCGTTGGACTGCGTTTGGGAACGTCCTGGGCCGTCCTGCTGCTGTCCGACGTCGTCTTGGGGGCCCGCCATGGTCATCTTGAGCCTTCCTCGGGGCTTCTCTTGGGCCTCCTGAGGGCTCCTCTGGGCCTCGTCGGAGCCTCCGGGGCGCTTTTTGGAGGCGGCTGGAGCCAAACGGTGAAGAGCGCCACGAATCTTCGAACGTCGGATGGCCGTCCTGGGCCGTCCTGGGGTCGTGTTTGGCCGTCGCGGGCGCCTCCTGAAGACCCTCTTGGGCCGCACAAGAGCCTCAAAAGGGCCCACAGGGCCGTCTCGTCGCTTCTCCCGCCCTCCCACCATCATCATCATCATCATCATCATCATCATCATCATCATCATCATCATCATCATCATCATCATCATCATCATCATCATCATCATCATCATCATCATCATCATCATCATCATCATCATCATCATCATCATCATCATCATCATCATCATCATCATCATCATCACCATCATCACCATCATCATCATCATTACCATCATCACCATCATCATCACCATCACCATCATCATCATCATCATCATCATCATCATCATCATCATCATCATCATCATCATCATCATCATGATTATCATCATCATCATCATCATCACAATCATCATTATCATCATCACCATTATCATCATCGTCATCACCACCATCAACATCATCATCATAATCATCATCATCAGCATCAGCATCAGTATCAGCATCAGCATTATCATCATCATCATCGCCATCGTCATCGTCATTGTCAGCATCATCACCATCATCATCAATATTCTCATCATCATCATCATCATCATCATCATCATCATCATCGTCGTCGTCGTCGTCGTCGTCGTCGTCGTCGTCGTCGTCCCGTTCCCTCGTCCTCCTCCTCCTGTTTCTTCTCCTCTTCCTCTTTCTCTCTCCTTCTCCTTCTCCTCATCGCCTTCCCTGGCTCGATCGACATAATCTGCTAACAACAAGTCGAGTTCGAACGATCCAGTTACGTAAGGGCTGGCCCAGATGGAGCTGCTCGCCACTGACTTGATAGCCTTGCTTTGGCTTCTGAGTGGTGCAAGCTCTGTCGCGCTCACCCCCAAGCTGCGCGCCAGTCCGACATGAAAGCGTCGCCCTCGTCAATCAGCATCTGTGTCAAGTTCACTGCGTGGAGGAAGCTGTCCTCGGCCAGCGCTCAATGATGCCACGGGAGGATATGCCGAACACGAGATAAAGGCTAATCGGAAACAGACAAGTCGGGAATGTTCGAGATCTCGCAGATCGCGGTGATGCATCGAGCGCCGCGGCCGTTCCGAAGCGATGCAGACTGCTCTGAGGCCATTCTGGATCGAATCCTTTGGCTGTCTGAGAGGACGGCGATGACGAGCATGAGGAGGACAGAGGGAATGCCATAAGATGCCCTAAGTCCAAGGGGTTACGGAGGGAAACAGGTCCTGGATAGCCTGGGGCTCCACTACAATCAAATCGTGCATTAAAGATGGGTGGTAAGGGCGCAAGACCCTTGGAGGCGGAAGTTGGATTTTTTGGGGCGGCGGGCGACCCGTGAAAACGGCAAAGGACGGGCCGCAGAGGCAAGGACACAAGGGTACCCTAGACGAAGGCGCGCGTCCTTGGTGAGCTCTTTGGCTGCACACCGGCTTTCATCCCGAGCATCTTGTTTGACGGCCTCGGGCCACAGGAAAGGCACTGGCAAGCCCAAAACCAGGAACACCTCGGCCCTGCCTTGCATCAGACGGAGGCGGAGCCACCACTTCGCCCCCCACTTGGACGGCGGCTGTCCGCCAGACGACCTCTTGGTAGACTGGCGACACGGCGTCCAATTGGGACGGTCTCCTCCTGACAGCCTCAGCCGCTCCCCCTTCTGGCTCCCCCTCCTCCTCCTCCTCCGCCTCCTCCTCCTCCTCTTTCTCCTCCTCCCTCCTCTTTCTCCTCCTCCTCCTCCTCCTCCTCCTCCTCCTCCTCCTCCCTCTCCTCCCCGTCCCCCCCCTTCCCCTCGCCCTCCCCTGCTGCTGCTGCTGCTGCTGCTTCTCCTCCTTCTCTCTCCCCCCCCCTCCTCCTCCTCCTCCTCCTCCTCCTCCTCCTCCTCCTCCTCCTCCCTCTTCCCGAGCCGCTTCGGCTCGGGCTCAGGGGAGCCCGCGCTTGTTCCCTGCGGACCTCGAACCAGCGCGCAGGGAGCGGCCGAGGGCTGCGCTGACGAGCGCAATTGTGCAGACCCTGGGACGACGGGCGGCGGCTGGAGCTCCGGGCAGCCTGCCGCGGGCGATCACGGATCTCAGACGAGAAGCGTCGTGTGCGTGGCAATGCAGGCCGAGCTCAAGCAAGGCGTGGCGTAGCCAGTGAAGGTTCTTCGGGGTGCAGTCAAGGCCACCTACGCTGGCGTCCCCTCCGACGGCGAGGACCAGGCCTGCGGGCCCAAGGGCGTCGGGCCGCCGGACGGACATCAGGGCGGCTCCGACCACCCCTGAGACGCGCATCCCTGAAGCGTCCACACGAGACGTCGCTGGAGGGGATCACGTCCGGCGCCAGTGGACTTGCGAGGATATCGCGAAGTACAGGAGTAGGAGGCCCCGCCGTCGTGCTGCGAAGAGGGAGCGAAGGAGCAGGGAGGCAACAAAACATCGGCGGCATCATCTCAGACCCCCGACGTCATGATTTTTTCGTAACGTCGACCCCGTGAGGTCTGGACCCCTTCCCGGGACTGCTTTTTCATCCTGAATCGTTTTTTGACGGTCCCGAGGGCCGGTAAGGGCCCCTGGAGCCCCAAAATAATAAAAAACCTCGCGTCATGTTTTTTTCGTTACGTGAGGGGGTCTGGGATGGTCGGCGACAAGCTGAACCAGCAGAGAGGACTCGTGCACGTCGGGCTGCCACGCAAGAGGACGGGCAGGTGGAAGGGCTGGAAGCGAGGGGCCCTGTGGTGGAGCACGCAGGCGCTGGCGCCCTGCAGGAGACCTGGAGGTCCTCCTCCTCCTCCTCCTCCTCCTCCTCCTCCCTCCTCCTCCTCCTCCTCCTTCTCCTTCGTTCCTCCCTCCTCCTCCTCCTCCTCCTCCTTCCTTCCTTCCTTCCTTCCTTCCTTCCTTCCTCCTCCTCCTCCTCCGCCTCCTCCTCCACCTCCTCCTCCACCTCCTCTTCCACGTCGTTCGATGCGCTGGAGTTGCTGGTGCCAGAGGGCCAGGTGGAGGAGGTGGCCCAACTCGGCGTCCCTGCCCCGGCCGCCACCCTTCGACGAGTCCGCCGAATCCGCCAAGGAGGCCGCGACTTCCTCGACGCGGAGCTGCAGGGCTTCCGTGAGAGGCCCGGGGGAAGCGCCCGAAGATCGGCCACGCTGCAAGGACGCACGAGGTGCATGGAGAAGGTGAGGACGGCGGCGGCAAGAGTTAGGTCGGGCATGTCCGCCTGCAGGCGGGTTTCGGAAGCATAATCACACATAGTCAAAACGTGTTCAAAGCACAGCTACAATCAAAACATATTCAATTTATGCTAACGGAGTTCCCCACATAATGATGTTTTTGGGCTAGCGGGATCAAGCAACATTTTGTAGAGAAATTGCCGACCTGCCCTCGCCCTCTCCATCCTTTTCTATCACATGGTTTGCGAATACCCTCCTCGCTCATGCGGGGCTTCCCTGGAGGGGTGGGACGGGCACGGAACCTGATAAATAGCACTGTTCGCGAATACCCTCCTCGCTCAGACGGGGCCTCCCTGGAGGGTGGGAGGGGCAGGAAATCTGATAAATAACACTGTGTTCGAATAGCGTCCTCGCTCAGGCGGGGCCTCCCTGGAGGGGTGGGAGGGGCACGAAACCTGAGAAATAACAGGTGATGCGAATACCCTCCTCGCTCAGGCGGGGCCTCCCTGGATGGGGTGGGAAGGGCACGAAACCTGATAAATAACAGGTGATGCGAATACCCTCCTCGCTCAGGCGGGGCCTCCCTGGAGGGGTGGGAGGGGCACGAAACCTGATAAATAACAGGTGATGCGAATACCCTCCTCGCTCAGGCGGGGCCTCCCTGGAGGGGTGGGAGGGGCACGAAACCTGAGAAATAACAGGTGATGCGAATACCCTCCTCGCTCAGGCGGGGCCTCCCTGGAGGGGTGGGAGGGGCACGAAACCTGATAAATAACAGGTGATGCGAATACCCTCCTCGCTCAGGCGGGGCCTCCCTGGAGGGGTGGGAGGGGCACGAAACCTGATAAATAACAGGTGATTCGAATACCCTCCTCGCTCAGGCGGGGCCTCCCTGGAGGGGTGGGAGGGGCACGAAACCTAAATAACAGGTGATGCGAATACCCTCCTCGCTCAGGCGGGGCCTCCCTGGAGGGGTGGGAGGGGCACGGGGAATACCCTCCTCGCTCAGGCGGGGCCTCCCTGGAGGGGTGGGAGGGGCACGAAACCTGTAAATAGTAGGTATGCGAATACCCTCCTCGCTCAGGCGGGGCCTCCCTGGAGGGGTGGGAGGGGCACGAAACCTGAGAAATAACAGGTGATGCGAATACCCTCCTCGCTCAGGCGGGGCCTCCCTGGAGGGGTGGGAGGGGCACGAAACCTGAGAAATAACAGGTGATGCGAATACCCTCCTCGCTCAGGCGGGGCCTCCCTGGAGGGGTGGGAGGGGTGGGAGGGGTATTGGTATGGTATGGTATTGGTATGGTATGGCTTGGTATGGCTTGGGATGTTATTGGTTTGGTATGGTATGGTATGGTATGGTATTGGTATGGTATGGTATGGTATTGATATGGTATGGCTTGGTATGGCTTGGTATGGTATTGGTATAGTAAGGTATTGGTATGGTATGGCTTGGTATGGTATGGTTTAGGAGAAGGACGCGGGAGGAGGAGGAGAAGGAGAGGGTGTTCTGGGAAAACAAGAACCCCACTCAGGATGTGGGGAAAAACAAACTAGTCAAAGAGTCGTCTCCAGACTACTTTTTGACTCTTTCTGAATATTCTTCCTGTAGAGGGACCTGTCCGAGTAACTAGGCAAGGAGGGCGCCACGAGCTTCACAACACGCGCCCTGCGCTGCCCCAGGCTCCACGGCCCATCCCTCGTGCTGCCGCGGCGCCCGGCGCCGACAGGAATTACTTCGGCGTTGGCCACTGCCTCGGCGCGGCTGCGAGCCCAGACCCCCTCGGCTAATGAGCAAATCATGACGTTCGTTTTTGCCACTCTCGGCGTCTGGGGGCCCTTGCCGGGCCTCGGGACCGTCAGACACCGACTCAGGATGCAACGCTGGTCCCGGGGAATGGGTCGAGACCTCCATGGGGTCGACGTAGTGACAAAATCTTGACGTCGAGGGTCTGGGAGGCCAGATGGGGCCGTGCGGAGAAGTGCGCACCAGAAGCGCCGTGCCGACGCCGACGGCAGCGGCGAGGGCGGCTCGACGAGCGGGGCCGCTGAGCTGCCAGCGGCACGGAAGACTCTGCACGAGATGCGAGGGCCGCCGGGTGTCTCCCTGGCACCCGACGACGGGCAGGGCGACGGGAGGCACGGATACCCGCGACGAGGCGCTTAGAAGAAGGTAAAACACCATAAACAGACGCTTGGGGCGCTCCGCGCGGATCTCTTAGATCTGCGCTGGATCCCCCTCCCCGGCGCGCGGAACGCGTCAGGGGCGGCGCTGGAGGCGCCGCCGGGGGAGCCCATGCGGATCTAAGAAATCCGCGCGGAGCGCCAATAGTTTTATGTTTATGGCGTTCTTTCACCCGCGACTTAGGTCGGGCATGTCCTCCCACAGGCCGATTTTGGGCGACAAATGAACAATCTTAAAAACATGCCAAGAGATAATCAAACATAGTCCAAACATCGTCCCCTGACTATTTTATTTTTGACTATTTTTGAATTCTCCTCCTGCAGAGGGACAGGCCCGCTTTAACCCTCGACGAGGTGGAGAGGTGCGCCTCCGCGGATCGGCCGGTGAGACGAGCGCCGAGCTCTTCACACCGCGCGTAGCGGCAGGGACGCGGTGTGGCGGCCGCTCGGCGCAAGATGCGCCAAGGGGGCCACCTCGGTGGCCACCCCCCCGCGGCCCTGAGGAGGAGCTCGCCGCTGCCACGCGGTGCCGTCCACAAGCGGCCCAAGCTGCTAGAAGGCTGGGGCGGAGGACAGGAAGGGGGCGGCGAGCAGGCCGAGGGCGGCCGCTCGGCGCAAGCTGCGCCAGGGGGGCCACCTCGGTGGCCACCCCCCGCGGCCCTGAGGAGGAGCTCGCCGCTGCCGTGCGGGGCAGGCTGCAGGTGGCCCAAGCTTTGGGTCGGGCATGTCCTCCCGGAGGCGGCTTCTGGAAGAGAGAGGAAACATAGTCAAAGCATACTCCAAAAGAGTCGAACATAGAAGACGCATCGTCCCCAGATTTTTTTGTGCCTATTGTGGACTATTCCTCCTGGAGAGGGACGTGCCCGACTTCACCCAATGCTGATAGAAGGCTGGGGCGGAGGGCAAGACGGCGGCGAGCACGCGGAGGGCCCCCGAGGGGGCCTCCGGCGGCTCTGTCGACGGGCTGTTCCGTCGGCTCGGGCCCCCAGGGGCCAACAGACGCGGGCCTTGGGGACGACGGCTGCCGCCAGGGACCCAGAGAAGATGTCCGCATTGACCTCTGGGGCAGGCGCCCAGGTTCTGGCGCCACAGAGGCATCGAGAGGGCAGACTCTCACGATCCTCGGCCTCGCACGGCCGCTGTGGGGCGGCGGGAGAGACGCCCAGGATGGGGAACCGGCCCCGAGGAAAGGGCCGGGAGCTCTGGGAGCCCAAGGCGCGAGCAGGAGCCTGAAGTCGGAGGGTAGGCACGCGGTATCAAGGGATGACGTCGGCGGAGGCGGAGGGAGGTGCAGTGTCCACCACCACCACCACCACCACCACCACCACCATCACCACCACCACCACCACCACCACCACCACCACCAACAGCAGCACCACCAACAGCAGCAGCTGCAGCAGCAGCAGCAGCAGCAACAGCAACAGCAACAACAGCGACAGCAACAACAGCAACACCAACATCAATAACAGCAGCAGTAACAACAACACCACCGGGGTCCGAGTAGAAACGGGGTCGGATGATCGCGCCGCATCGCCGATGCATCGGCGTGGATACCATCGGGCTCCACAGCCCGCCGCCTCGCCCATGCCTCTCGGCGATGCGGCGCGATCCTCCGACCCCAGCTACTCGGACCTCACGTGGACGGCCTGGATCCTTGGGGGGTCCAAGATCCAGGATGGATGCTTATGGGCGTTTTTTTGCCTTGTCTGAGCCTTCCAGAAGTCTCTGGAGAGCTCCTGGGATTTCTGTCTGGTGTTGCCAGCAGAGGTGTGCCTGGCCCAAGGTACCCCCCATGATTTCCAAGGAGGCCCAACGAGGCCCAGAGGGTCCCAGGAGGCTCTAAAATGGAGCGAGAAGCTGGGGCACCGTAGGCCAGGGACACCTTCAGCAATCCGACTCTGGACCCCCCGGGGATATCCAGAGACCTGCGCGGAGGCCCGTGCCGGAGTTTGAAGAGATGTGCTTGAGTCCTCAGTCAGCGTGGGGTACTGAAACTCGAGCGTCATGAGGACCAGCGAGACCTGCTGCTGGATGCGGTCCCAGACGCTCCTGCAAGAGGCTCGCAGGTGGCCCGACTGCCCATGCACGACTCGGCCGGTCAGTCTACAACATGCATGTCAGCAGCGCCAGCACCGAGGCGACAACAACGACATCAACATTCAAAACAATCGAGGTCACGCAGTGCTGATAACGAGCCAGCAACACGAGTGGGACGCGCAAGTGAACTAGATAATCATACCGGTGAGCCACGGTTATGCAACACACACACATACAAAACCAATGCCCCAACGATCGCAGAAATTACAATGCATCCGCAGGATCGGAAACGGCACGACATGCATAAACAACATAATGGCACGATATGCATCGGAAGCGGCACGATATGCAACGAGAACATGGGCGTGCGCAGCGGTACCATAAACATGTAGGTAAGCAAACACCTTTGTCACCGTCGTCGTCGCCGCTGTCAACACCGGCATCACCAGCCTGATCTAAGCCGCAGCCGCAGCCATGAATATCAATAGCAACAGCGGCGGTACTTGTACCAACACCAACACCCGCACCCCACACAGCGCGACAGCGACGACAACACAAGCACGCACCCCCTTCTCCTCCTCCTCCTCCTCCTCCTCCTCCACATCCTCCTGCTCCCCCTGCATCTCCATCTGGGACTCAGGACTGGAAAGGCACTAGAGTCGTCCAAGTTGCGATGCTGCCTTGCCTCTTCCTGACGGCTCTCTGCTGCCAGGGAGGGCGAACGACTAAAACACCGATCGTGATAAAGCGT